TGCTGGCAGAATACGGCCCCCATAGCTGCTGCCAGGCCCCAAAATCTTGCCATGGGCCCCTGTACCGCCTCCTCATGCAGCTGCCAGGTCCACAGTGTCTCCCATCGCCTCACTCTGCCATGTGCCCACGTTCAGGTCTCCTCCACACACTGGGGCTGGTGTTTTCAATTTTTTGTCATAGGTGCTGGCAGATGACGGGCCTCCCATAGCTGCTGCCAGGCTCCTAATCTGCCATGGGCCCCTATAACCGCCTCCTCATGCAGCTGGCACAGGTCCCAGAGTGTCTCTATGGGTCCCTGTAACGCCTCCCATTGCTGCTGTCCTCCCATCCGCCTCACTCTGCCCATGTGCCACTTTCAGGTCTCCTCTCACTCTGGGTGTTACATTTTTTTTGTCATAGGGTCTGGTTCATCGCCTCACTCTGCCACATGTGCCACTTTCAGGTCTCCTCACACTGCTGGGTGTGTAAACATTTTTTGTCATGGGGTGCTGGCAGATTACGGGCCTCACATAGCTGCTGCCAGGCCCCTAATCTGCCATGGGCCCCTATACCGCCTCCTCATGCTGCTGCCAGGTCCAGAGTCTCTCATGCCATGTGCCACTTTCAGGTCTCCTCACACACTGCTGGTGTGTTTCAATTTTTTTGTCATGGGTGCTGGCAGATTACGGGCCTCCAATTAGCTGCTGCCAGGCCCCTAATCTGCCATGGGCCCCTATACCGCCTCCTCATGCTGCTGCCAGGTCCACAGTCTCTCCATGCCATGTGCCACTTTCAGGTCTCCTCACACTGCTGGTGTTGTTCAATTTTTTGACATAGGGTGTTGGCAGAATACGGGCCTCCCATAGCTGCTGCCAGGCCCCTAATCTGCCATGGGCCCCTATACCGCCTCCTCATGCTGCTGCCAAGTCCAGAGTGTGTCATGGGTCCCTGTACGGCCTCCAATTGCTGCTGTCTCCATCGCCACACTCTGCCATGTGCCACTTTCAGGTCTCCTCACACTGCTGGTGTGTTCAATTTTTTGACATAGGGTGCTGGCAGATTACGGGCCTCCCATAGCTGCTGCCAGGCCCCCTAATCTGCCATGGGCCCCTGTACCGCCCTCCTCATGCTGCTGCCAGGTCCAGAGTCTCTCATGGGTCCCTGTACGGCCTCCCATTGCTGCTGTCGTCTCCATCGCCTCACTCTGCCATGTGCCACTTTCAGGTCTCCTCACACACTGCTGGTGTGTTCAATTTTTTGGTCATAGGGTGCTGGCAGATTACGGGCCTCCCATAGCTGCTGCCAGGCCCCTAATCTGCCATGGGCCCCTATACCGCCTCCTCATGCTGCCTGCCAGGTCCACAGTCTCTCATGCCATGTGCCACTTTCAGGTCTCCTCACACACTGCTGGTGTGTTCAATTTTTTGATATAGGGTGCTGGCAGATTACGGGCCTCCCATAGCTGCTGCCAGGCCCCTAATCTGCCATGGGCCCCTATACCGCCTCCTCATGCTGCTGCCAAAGGTCCAGAGTGTGTCATGGGTCCCTGTACGGCCTCCCCATTGCTGCTGTCTCCATCGCCACACTCTGCCATGTGCCACTTTCAGGTCTCCTCACACTGCTGGTGTGTTCAATTTTTTTGACATAGGGTGCTGGCAGATTACGGGCCTCCCATAGCTGCTGCCAGGCCCCTAAATCTGCCATGGGCCCCTGTACCGCCTCCTCATGCTGCTGCCAGGTCCAGAGTCTCTCATGGGTACCCCTGTACGGCCTCCCATTGCGGCTGCAGCTGTCTCCCATCGCCTACACTCTGCCATGTGCCACTTTCAGGTCTCCTCACACACTGCTGGTGTGTTCAATTTTTTGTCATAGGGTGCTGGCAGATTACGGGCCTCCCATAGCTGCTGCCAGGCCCCTAATCTGCCATGGGCCCCTATACCGCCTCCTCATGCTGCTGCATGAGTCCACAGTCTCTCATGGGTCCCTGTACGGCCTCCCATTGTGCTGTCTCCCATCGCCTCACTCTGCCATGTGCCACTTTCAGGTCTCCTCACACTGCTGGTGTGTTCAATTTTTTGACATAGGGTGCTGGCAGATTACGGGCCTCCATTGCTGCTGCCAGGCCCGTAATCTGCCATGGGCCCCGTACCGACTCCTCATAGCTGTGACGTTGCAACAAGGTGGAATTCAACCCTACATATGTTAGACCACCTTTACGAACAGCGATTGCATCACAGATTCTGATGTTTAAAAGCGGATAAAGGTACTCCCTGTTTAACTTAGATGTCAGCCATTGGCAGCTCATGCGTGGCGCTTGCTCAGGCCCCATAGGAGGCCACCCTATTCGTGAGTCAGGACTATGGGATGAACGAGGTCAAATCTGCTCATGGGCCCCCGTCAACCGCCTGGTCACGCTGCTGCTGGGTCCCACAGTGTGACCTGGGTCCCTGTACCGCCTCCCATTGCTTCCACACTCTGCCATGTGCCACTTTGAGGTCTCCTCACACTCCTGCGGTTTTCCATTTTGTCATAGGTTGCTGGCAGATTTACAGGCCTCCCATAGGTGCCGCCAGGCCCCAAATCGGCCATGGGAGGCCCCCGTACCGCCTGGTCACGCTGCTGCTGGGCCCACAGTGTGACCTCATTGGTCCCTGTACGGCCTCCCATTGCATTGTCTCCATCCCACTCTGCCATGTGCCACTTTGAGGTCTCCTCTCACACCTGCGGTGATTCAATTTTTTGTCATAGGTTGCTGGCAGATTTACGGGCCTCCCATAGGTGCCGCCAGGCCCCAAAATCTGCCATGGGCCCCCGTACCGACTCCTCATGCTGTGACGTTGCAACAAGGTGAATTCAACCCTACATATGTTAGACCGCCTTTACTAACAGCAAAAGGCCATCACAGATTTCCTGATGTTAAAAGCGGATAAAGGTACCCTGTGTAACTTAGATGTCAGCCATTGGCAGCTCATGACAGCGTAACACCTGCAGATTGCTCAGGCCCTTTGAGGAGGCCACGCATTCGTGAGTCGGCAGGCCTATGGGATGAACGAGGTCAAATCTGCCATGGGCCCCCCGTACCGCCTGGTCACGCTGCTGCTGGTCCCACAGTGTGACCTGGGTCCCTGTACCGCCCTCCCATTGCTCCCACTCTGCCATGTGCCACTTTGAGGTCTCCTCACACTCCTGCGGTTTTCCATTTTGTCATAGGTTGCTGGCAGATTACAGGCCTCCCATAGGTGCCGCCAGGCCCCAAATCGGCCATGGGCCCCCGTACCGCCTGGTCACGCTGCTGCTGAGCCCACAGTGTGACCTTGGTCCCTGTACCGCCTCCCATTGCTCCCACTCTGCCATGTGCCACTTTGAGGTCTCCTCACACTCCTGCGGTTTTCCATTTTGTCATAGGTTGCTGGCAGATTACAGGCCTCCCATAGTGTGCCGCCAGGCCCCAAATCGGCCATGGGCCCCCGTACCGCCTGGTCACGCTGCTGCTGAGCCCACAGTGTGACCTGGGTCCCTGTACCGCCTCCCATTGCTCCCACTCTGCCATGTGCCACTTTGAGGTCTCCTCACACTCCTGCGGTTTTCCATTTTGTCATAGGTTGCTGGCAGATTACAGGCCTCCCATAGGTGCCGCCAGGCCCCAAATCGGCCATGGTCCCCCCGTACCGCCTGGTCACTCTGCTGCTGAGCCCACAGTGTGACCTGGGTCCCTGTACGGCCTCCCATTGCTCCCACTCTGCCATGTGCCACTTTGAGGTCTCCTCACACTCCTGCGGTTTTCCATTTTGTCATAGGTTGCTGGCAGATTACAGGCCTCCCATAGGTGCCGCCAGGCCCCAAATCGGCCATGGGCCCCCGTACCGACTCCTCATGCTGTGACTTTGCAACAAGGTGGAATTCTACCCTACATATGTTAGACCGCCTTTACGAACAGCGAAAGGCCATCACAGATTTCCTGATGTTAAAAGCGGATAAAGGTACTCCCCTGTGTAACTTAGATGTCAGCCATTGGCAGCTCATGCGTGACACCTGCGCTTGCTCAGGCCCTTTGAGGAAGCCACGCCTCAAAGGGCCTGTCGGCAGGACTATGGGATGAACGAGGTCAAATCTGCCATGGGCCCCCGTACCGCCTGGTCACGCTGCTGCTGGTCCCACAGTGTGACCTGGGTCCCTGTACCGCCTCCCATTGCTCCCACTCTGCCATGTGCCACTTTGAGGTCTCCTCACACTCCTGCGGTTTTCCATTTTGTCATAGGTTGCTGGCAGATTACAGGCAGATTGTCATAGGTTGCTGTATGGCCTCCCATTGCTGCTGCCTCCACCGCCACACTGTGGCTCCAAACACTGCTTTTGGCCCCGTGACTGGCCAAATGAGTGAAGTGTGCGGTGATTCTAAGATCGACGGCACTCATCTGCATGTCATACTGACTGACAGTATTATTTCTCTTCCCCAGCAGACTCCAAGGGCATTTAAATTAAAGGTACAGTGTTCTGCACTAATATTAAGTCTCTCTGAAGCCTAGAAACACCCTTTTTTTAAGTTAAATTCACAGCGAATATATTCGACTCGAATCGAATATTGTCAACGAATTCGCCGAATCAGTCGAATCGAATTTTTGAATACTTCGCTCATCTCTAGTCATAATGTGCTAGGATGCATATGCAGGACTTACCTTAAAACGAACCCCTCTAGCAGTGTGGCGTACCTCTGGACACGGTACAGTGCTCTGAAGCTCTTTCAGAGCGCATGTGCCAGTGGACAAAAAGAGCGAATATCTCCTAAGCGGTGCATGTTTAGGAGATATTCATTTTACCTACAGGTAAGCTTTATTGTAAGTTTACCTGGAAGTAAAAGATACAAAAGTGGGTTTACTTCCAGACATCCCTGGTTTCTGGGGACCGGACCATGTAAGGTTAAATAACATTTATTAATATAAATAACTCCTTTGACTCTGGAGTGGATTCAAATATGGTGGGTTAACACAGGGGTTAAAATTTCAAGTCCAGACCTACTAGCCGGTCACAAAACTTACTCTCCACCAGTTGCCCCACCCAACCTTGCCCAGATCCGCCCCCCCCAACCCCACCCCCCGGCCAGCCCCCAACCACACTCCCTTAAAGCTTATGAAATTACATTTTTCTTTAGAATAAATAGTCCGAAATATAAAACTGTATACAGTAATGTATATCCCTCCCCTCCCCTGTACTCCACTCCATTATAGTGATGTGACATGTACACAGTAATGTATATCCCAGCTCCCCTGTACTCCATTATAGTGATGTGACATGTACACAGTATGTATATCCCAGCTCCCCTGTACTCCATTATAGTGATGTGACATGTACACAGTATGTATATCCCAGCTCCCCTGTACTCCATTATAGTGATGTGACATGTACACAGTATGTATATCCCAGCTCCCCTGTACTCCATTATGATGTGACATGTGACATGTATCATTATAGTGATGTGACATGTACACAGTATGTATATCCCAGCTCCCCTGTACTCCATTATAGTGATGTGACATGTATACAGTAATGTATATCCCAGCTCCCCTGTACTCCATTATAGTGATGTGACATGTATACAGTAATGTATATCCCAGCTCCCCTGTATTCCATTATAGTGATGTGACATGTATACAGTATGTATATCCCAGCTCCCCTGTACTTCATTATAGTGATATTACATGTATACAGTAATCATAGTAATGATAAATAAGTTGGGTGTAGCGCTCAAAACAAATAAAAACAATATGTCCACATATATAAATGCATGTGAATGCGTAAACGGATATAGAGTCTGTATCAAGAAGAAAATATAGCAGATGAACTTGTGACTCCAACCAAAAGAGAAAAATGCGCACTCACCGGAAGCGCATAGATAATGCGCATATATATATAAATTTCCAGAGTAGATTGGCCAATCCGGTGAACTTTATCCTATGGTGCAGTCATCAAGCCCTTGGAGAACGGTGTTGAATCCCTTGACCAGGAGTTCCTTCTTTAGGCTAAATGAGGTAATCAGCCTGGATACGGGGCTCCTGTTCCTCCAGATATGTTGGATACTGACAGGTACCTGTGGGCTTAATAGCTCCAAATAGGAGCCATAAAAAAAGGTGCCCATAGTGTAGTATGTTAATGAACCTTTATTTGCAGTACCACATATCACAGACAGGGTATAGTGATATACAATAAAAAAGCACTATACCTTCATTTAAAATATCCGCCGGGCTTCAATCCAACTTGGTTCTCCCTCTGATGAAGTACTATTTGCACGAAAGGCCTCAGGAGGAACTAGACAGTACAGCACACTTCTGCCGCCTGGTGCTGGATTGAAGCCCGGGCGGCTATTTTAAATGAAGGTATAGTGCTGAATGTGAGTTAGGGACCTTAGATTGTACACCCCTTGAGGGTTAGGGACTGATGTGAATGTACAATAATATATATATATATATATATGTAAAGCGCTGCGTAAATTGACGGCGCTATATAAGTACCTGAAATAAATAAATAATAAATAACTCCCTTGACTCTGGAGTGGATTCAAATATGGTGGGTTAATGGTAGGAGAATGGTAGGGTTAATGGTAGGAGAGTAGATGGGGTACTGGAGGTTCAGTCATGCCTGTCCCCATTGGTTGAAGCAGTGGGATGGAAGGCAGTGCAGCTGTAGTAATCCTGCATTAGTAATCCTTTATCCCTTCTCATGCTGGGCTGGTCTCTGGGGTTGGGGACACTGGAACATTTGTCTTGAGTGATGTCTGTTGAGGCTGACTCTGTCCGTACTGACAGAAGTATGACTGCCGACCTGAGCACAGCCACTTCGGAGAAAGAATTGGAGACACATTTTATCCAGAGACAACAACCTGAAAGTGGGATCGGTCCCCAGAAACCAGGGATATATGGTCATTTTATTTTAGGTCAAACTGACTAAACACTTAAGCCCCGTACACACGATGAGAATATTGGACGAATTATCATCTGTTTGTTTTTTTGCACGCTAGTCTCATATCGAGCATATAGAGCTGAACTAAAGTGTCAGGGCCGGATTTATATCTCAGGAGCCTATAGGCAGAGAATTCAGATGAGCCCCCCCCCCCCAATAAAAAAAAAGAAAGATATACTTTTTTTTCTTCAAAAATATTTGTATATGTGTGAAGGAGAATGCTGCGGACTTTGATGTAAAGGGGAACTATGATGTAAGGAGGCCTCTGGTCACCAGAGCCTTCCTTACATAAGAGTCCCCAGAGATCCTCTCATCATAGCTCCCAACTTGTGAACTTCAGAAGGAGGGACACCTGAGAATGGAAGTGTCCTGTAGTGTGCCTAATGCACTGTGACAAAATGGGTGTGGCCAAATGCTTGACAGTGGGAGGGACTTAAGGGGAGTGGATAAACAAAACCCAGGCTTTCTTGTACCTATAAAATGTGCTTTGATTGCTGTGCCACAAGAGAGTCTCACGGACACAACCCCAGCACAATCATTTAAAACATAAATAAATAAACTTCTATTACAAATGATTTTGCACAAATTGTGGAGCGTTACATAAAGTGGGGAAAGATACAAGAGTGCATTGGATACAGAGTGCAGGGTTCAGGAATGTGTTATGTACAGAGTGCAGGGTTCAGGAATGTGTTATGTACAGAGTGCAGGGTTCAGGAATGTGTTATGTACAGAGTGCAGGGTTCAGGAATGTTTTATGTACAGAGTGCATGGTTCAGGAATGTGTTAATGTACAGAGTGTAGGGTTCAGGAATGTGTTATGTACAGAGTGCAGGGTTCAGGAATGTGTAATGCACAGAGTGCAGGGTTCAGGAATGTGAAATGTACAGAGTGCAGGGTTCAGGAATGTGTTTATGTACAGAGTGCAGGGTTCAGGAATGTGTTATGTACAGAGTGCAGGGTTCAGGAATGTGAAATGTACAGAGTGCAGGGTTCAGGAATGTGTAATGTACAGAGTGCAGGGTTCAGGAATGTGTAATGTACAGCGTGCAGGGTCCAGGAATGTGAAATGTACAGAGTGAAGGGTTCAGGAATGTTATGTAAATGAAGGGTACAGAAGTGAAGGGTCAGAAAAATGTGTGTTATGTACAGAGTGCAGGGTTCAGGAATGTGAAATGTACAGAGTGAAGGGTTCAGGAATGTGTTATGTACAGAGTGCAGGGTTCAGGAATGTTTTATATACAGAGTGCAGGGTTCAGAAATGTGTAATGTACAAAGTGCAGGGTACAGGAATATGTTATGTACAGAGTGCAGGGTTCAGGAATGTGTTATGTACAGCATGCCAACAAAGTTTTTCCCCTAGTACAGCAATGGGCAAACTACGGCCCGCGGGCTGTATACGGCCCGGCGGACCTTTTAATCCGGCCCGGAGCTAGGCTCCCGCTAGAATTCCTCCTCTCACAGTCCGCCCTGAAGACCGGTGTAGCATGAAAATCTGTCTCCTATGAGGATCTGTCCCCCTCGACGTATGTGCGCATGTGCCGGAGATCGCCGATCGGCTGCTAATGCCTGAAACTGGCACATGCGCAGATACGTCGAGGGGGACAGATCCTATAGGAGACAGATTTTATGCTACACCGGAACGGCGAGAGGAACGCGCGGAGCAAAGGTAAGTGAATTGACACAGGGGGGACTTAATATGGGGGATGAATTACTATAGGGGATGAATTACTATGGGGGATGAATTACTATAGGGGGGATTGGGGGATGAATGAATTACTATATGGGGGGATGAATTACTATATGGGGGATGAATTACTACTATGGGGGATGAATTACTATGGGGGATGAATTACTATATGGGGGGGGATGAATTACTATTTTATAGGGGGGATGAATTACTATATGGGGGATGAATTACTATATGGGGGATGAATTATGGGGGATAATTACTATGGGGGATAATTACTATATGGGGGATGAGATGAATTACTATGGGGGATGAATTACTATATGGGGGATGAATTACTATGGGGGATGAATTACTATGGGGGGGATGAATTACTATATGGGGGATGAATTACTATGGGGGATGAATTACTATATGGGGGATGAATTACTATATGGGGGATGAATTACTATATGGGGGATGAATTACTATGGGGGGGATGAATTACTATATGGGGGATTAATTACTATGCTTACTATGGGGGAATATTACTATACTTACTATGGATGACACATACACATCATTCATCTACTCTTGGTCCGGCCCCCGGGTCCAATATATGAAGCCATTGCGGCCCTCAAGTCGAAAAGTTTGCCCACCCCTGCCCTAGTATGTAGTGGGACTTTTAAGGCAACACACCAAAGTAAAAATATGTCATCATTTTTATTACATATGGTTAAAAAACATTGGATCGTCACAAA